ATGGGAGGGGGTGATGGGTTAGGGATGGTGGGGGTTATGGGGAAGTGATGGGGAGGGGTGTGATGGGGGCGCGACGGGGTGGGGGATGATGGAGGAGCGATGGGGAGGTGATGGGAGGGGGTTATGGGGGGGGAATGATGGGGAGGGGGCAGATGGGCAAAGAATGATGGGGATGGGGGGGAGGGAGATGATGAGGAGAGGGAGATGGGGAGGGGGGTGGTGGGCAAAGAGTGATAGGGGGGTGATGGGGGTTATGGGGAGGGTGATGGGGAAAGGGATGGGGTGGTCATGGGAGTGAGGGAGGGGGGAGGGAGCTCAGGGGCAAAGAGTGATGGGGGCAGGTGGGGAGGGGGTGATGGGGAGTGATGGGGAGGGGGGTGATGGGGAAGGTGGGGAAGTAGGTGAAAGGAGGATGATGGGGAGGGTGATGGGGGGTGATGAGGGTGATGGGGAGGGGGGCGATGGGGGAGTGATAAGGTGGGGTGATGGGAGGGGTTGATGGGGTGGAGGGGTGATGGGGGCTGGTTAAGGTTGGTTAATGGCGGTGGGAGGTGATGGGAGGCACTGAGCCCCACCTGCCCGCATCCCCTCCCAAAAAAAGGTACTACGGAGGGGCCGAGGTGGTGGATCAGCTGGAACTGCTGTGCGAGCAGCGGGCGCTGGAGGCCTTCGACCTGGACCCGCAGCTGTGGGGGGTGAACGTGCAACCCTACTCCGGCTCCCCAGCCAACTTCGCTGCTTACACCGCTGTGCTGCGACCCCACGACCGCCTGATGGGGCTGGATCTGCCCGACGGGGGCCAGTGGGTGCTGGGAGCAGTGGGGGGGTTGTGGGCTTGGGGGTTGGGGATATAACCTGACCCCCATCCCTGTGCCCTGCAGCCTCACACATGGTTATATGACGGATGCTAAGAGGATCTCGGCCACGTCCATCTTCTTTGAGTCCATGCCCTATAAGCTCGATGTGAGTGCGGTGCGGCTGTGGGGGGGTCGGGAGGGGAATGGCTCAGCCACCTCCATGTGCTGCGTCCCGGGGCTGTGGGGCACTGCGAGGTGCTCCAGCAAGCCGTCTGTCCCTCTGCCTGTCTGTCTGACCCTCTGTTTGTTCTTCCATCCCTCTGTCCATCCATCTGGCTCTCGGTCTGTCCTTCTGTTTGTCCTTACGTCCCTCTGTCCCTCCGTCCACCCCTCCATCCATCTGTCCCACCATCCCTCTGACCATCCTTCTGTCCCTTTATCCCTCCATCTGCCCCTCCGTCCATCCCTCTGTCCATCCATCCATCCCCTCCGTCCCTTCATCCATCTGTGTCTGTGTCCTCTGCCCATCCCTCTGTCTGTCCACCTGTCCATCCTTCTGTCCCTCCGTCCATCTCTCTGTCTCCATCTTTCCATCCATCCCTCCGTCCTTCTGTCCGTCCCTCTGTGTGCCATTTCATTCATCCGTCCATCCCTTTCTTTGCCCCTCCATCTGTCCGTCCATCTGTCCATCCCTCCCAGCCTGCCACAGGTCTCATAGATTACGCTCAGCTGGAGGTGACGGCTCGTCTCTTCCGTCCCCGCATCATCATTGCCGGCACCAGCGCCTACGCGAGGCTCATCGACTACGGGCGTATGAAGAAGGTGGGAGGCTGATGGGGGGAGTCTGTGGTGGGGTGGGTGCTGGTACAGGGTGGCTGCGAGTGGGGTGGGTGCTGGTGCAGGATGGGTGCTGCGCCGGGGCTGGTTGCTGACCTCCGTGCCCACAGCTGTGTGAGGAGCTGCGTGCCTTCCTGCTGGCTGACATGGCGCACATCAGCGGCTTGGTGGCTGCCAAAGTCGTCCCGTCGCCCTTTGAGCATGCAGACCTGGTGACCAGCACCACGCATAAGACATTGCGCGGGGCCAGGTGGGGTGCAGGCCTGGAGCGCAGAGCGGAGCTGGGTGTTCGCGTTGGGTAGGGGGTGTGCCGTGGGCAGCTGGTGTGCTATGGGGCAGCCCCCAGGCCGTGGGGCGGGTGGCATGCTGAAGGCACTATGCTATGGGGCGGCCTGTTGGCCATGGGGCAGGCAGCATGCTGCGGGCAGCCAGTTGGCCATGGGGCAGCGCTCTCCCCCCTGCAGGTCTGGCCTCATCTTCTACCGCAAGGGCGTGCGCTGGGTGGAGCAGAAGACGGGCCGGCAGACGCTTTACGACCTGGAGGACAAAATCAACTTCGCCGTCTTCCCCTCGCTGCAGGGCGGGCCCCACAATCACGCCATTGCCGCCGTGGCCGTGGCCCTCAAACAGGTGTGGGGCAGACGTGGGGCCTGGCGGGGCTGCTGTGGGGCTCTGTGCTGACGGCTGCACTCGGCGTGCTCTCCCCCTCCCCCATCCCCATCCCCACATCCAGGCCAAGTCGCCCCAGTTCCGGCAGTACTGCCTGCAGGTGCTGCGCAACGCCAAGGCCATGGCCAGGGCTCTGCTGCAGCGCGGCTACACGCTGGTGTCAGGTAGGGTCTGCTGTGGGGAGGATGCGGCACTGCGGCATGGGGGGCAGGAGTCTGATGGGGGGTGGGGGGCTGGTGGGGGATGGGGGTCTGATGTAGGGTGGAGGTCTGATGTGGAGCAGGGGTCTGATAGGGGTGGGGGTCTAATTGGGGACAGGGGTCTGTTGGGAAGTAGGAGTCTGATGTGGGTTGGGGGTCTGGTAGAGGCTGGGGTCTAATATGGGGCAGGGTCTGATGGGGGGGCAGGGGTCTGGTGGAGGATGGGGGTCTGTTGGGGGTCTGAGATCTGATGGGGAGGGGGTCTGATGGGGGCACGGGGCTGGTGGGGGATGGGGGTCTGATGGAGGATGGGGGTCCGGTGTGGGGCAGGCCGCCTGTCGCTCAGCTCTCCCTGGGATCCCAGGGGGCACCGACAACCACCTGGTCTTGGTGGACCTGCGGCCCAAAGGCATCGATGGAGCCCGGGCTGAGCGCGTCCTGGAGCTTGTCTCCATCACAGCCAACAAGAACACCTGCCCAGGGGACCGGAGCGCCCTCACCCCTGGGGGGCTGCGCCTGGGTGAGGGGCAGCCCCTTCCCCCCTGCGTGTCACCCCTCTGTGGGATTTGGGGCTGCTTTGTGGCTTGGAGGGCAGGACCCCAAAGGGACATTGGGGTCCCTTTGGCGGGTTTGGTTCCCTTCAATGGATTTGGGTCCTTTTGATGGATTTGGGGCCTCCTTGGTGGGTTTGGGTCCCCCATAGTGAGTTTGGGGTCCCTTTGGTGGGTCTGAATCCCCTTTGGCATGTTTTGGTCCCCCTTTGGTGAGTTTGGGGACCTCCATTGTCAGTTTGGTGTCCCCTTAGTGCGTCTGGCTTCTCTGGGTGAATTTGGTGTCCCTTTGGTGGGTCTGGGTCCCTCTCAATGGTTTTGGGTCCCCCAAGGTGAGTTTGGGGTCCCTCTTTGGTGGGTTTTGGTTTCCTATAGTGAGTTTGGAGTCCCCTGGATGGATTTGGGTCCCTTGGGTTGATGTGGGTCCTCCCCAGCCGCTCCCCCCGCCTCACCCCCTAACAATCCCCTCTGCCCCCAGGGACACCCGCGCTGACTTCGCGTGGCTTCGGGGAGGAGGACTTCCATAAAGTGGTGGAGTTCATCGACGAGGGCATCGCGGTGGCCTTGGATGTGAAGAGCAAAACCAGTAAGAGCCCCCCAACCCCCTCTCAACCCCAAACTGGACAGCACTGGGCGGGATGGATGGGGGGTGGGCTGCTGCTATGCTTCCCCCACAACCCCAAACATGGGCAAGGGGCTGCAGATGGGCCTGGATGGATGGATGGATGGATGGGGGGCTGCTGTTTTTCTCCCACCCCACCCTTAAATGTGGGTGTGGGGCTACAGCCAGGCGGGATGCATTGGAGGCTGCTGTGGCCCCCCCTTCCCAAACCCCACATCCAACCCTCCCCCAGGTAAACTTGCAGACTTCCAGGCCTTCCTGCTGCAGGATGCAGAGACGCAGCAGCGCTTGGCGGAGCTCCGCCAACGCGTGGAGAGCTTCGCCCGCGCCTTCCCCATGCCCGGCTTCAGCGACCACTGAGCGGGACCCCCCCCCCACGCGGGGGGGGTGATGGGGGTATCATCCCCCCCCCACTGCTGCACTTAAGCCCCTCGATCTGGGGTTCCCTTCCCCCCGTTTAGTGTTAAGGTGTAGGGACCAATCGCTATGGGGTGGGACAGCTCCCACCCACCCTCTGCCTCCTCTGCCTCCCCCCCCTTACCTCTTTTCTATGGGGGAGGGGGAGTTGCTAATAAAAGTAAGGGGGCAGAGCCTGCGTGTGTGGAGGTGTGTGTGATGGGGGAGTGGGGCAGGCACGCCCCTGCTGTCCCCCATTGCCCCCTATACTTCAGTGCCTCTCCCACTCCTGTGTTCCTTCCACCCCAGTGCCCCCCCTACCCCAGAACCCCCACCATTATGCCAGTGCCCCCCATACCCCAGTGCCCCCCCTTGCCTCTCCCCTTAGCCCATTGCCCCCCTCCCCTACCCCATTGGCCCCCCTTGCCCCATTAATTGACCTCCCACCTCACTGCCTCCGTCCCAGACCCCAATTGCCCCCCCTTACCCCATTAATTGACCTCCCACCTCACTGCCCCCGTCCCAGACCCCAATTGCCCCCCCTTACCCCATCGCCCCTCCCCACCTGAAGGCAGCCTACCCCTCTGCCCACGCCACACATCAGCCCACCTCTCTCCAACCCCATTGGCCAAAGCAAACCACACAGCAGCAGCCAGGACCCCCCCCACTCCCCGGCCCCCCCCAGGCCGTGTCATGCTGCATGTAATTCACATTTTGGAGGGCGGGTTGGGGGCAGGACGGGACACATGAATGCACTGCGGGTGTTTGCTTTGCTTCCCATCCCCATTTCCTGCTTCACCTCCTGGGGGCCGGGACCCTGGTGAGCCCCCCCAAGCGTGGGAGAGCGGAAGCACAGGGCTGGGGGGGCCAGAGCCCCCCTCCCCTCCCCAAGCCCTTATGGGGACACTGTGAGCCTGGGAAACCGGACTGCACCCCCCTGGGATTTTATTGCTGCCCGGTTCATGCAGGAGGCGTGAGCTGGGGGGGGAACAAGGAGCGCAACATGAGGGGGGTTGCAGGGCGGCTGCGTGGGGCTGCTCAGAAGCTGGGCCGCTCCTTCTTGAGGTTCTTGTAGTCGGTGGAAACCGCTATGAACTGCAAAGAGCAGAGAGGTGAGAGGGGCTGCACTCCCCTGCAGAGCCCCCCCTGCCCCCCCCCCAGTCCATCCCACTGCTCACTTTGTACTGGTCGGTGGGGCCCAGCTTGTTCCACGGCTCAGGGTTATTCTTTCGGTCCCAGCTGCAAGAAGCAGTGGGACTGTTGGCACACAGCAGGTGTGTGTGGGGGGGAGGGGGCAGGACCCCCGCACCCCGTAAGCACCCCCAGGCTAATGGGCACCTACAGCCCCATAAGCACCCTCCAGCTCCACAGGTCCCCACCAGCCCCATAGGTGCCCCTAGTCCCCATATGCACCCCCAGCCCTGTAGGCTCCCCATTCTGCCCCTGCGGGCTCCATGCAGTGACAACCCAGCTCCATCTTGAGGGCCGAGGGCTGTGCCCAGCTTTGAACCACAGGCAGCAGTGGGATGGGTCCCGGTTGGCCCCTCCTGCCATTGACTGGGGGGGCACACCTGGTCCTGTGCCCTCCTCCCATAGGTCCTCACTGTGCTGCCTCCCACCGATCCCATCCTTGCTCCCCCTCCCATCCCTGCTGTCTGTCCGCCCGTCCATCACTCCGGCCATCAGTCCCTGTCCATCTGTCCATCACCATCCACCCTCTATCCATCATCACTGTCTGTCCATCTATCACATCCCTCTCTGCTTCACCTCCCCCCTCCTCCAAGCCTACATCCTCAGAGCTGAAGGGGTCCTTAAACCCCACCCCCAGCCCCACATCTTCAGGGCTGGAGGGGTCCTTAAACCTCCCCCTCCAAATCCACATCTCCAGAGCTGGAGGTGTCCTCACAGTCCCCCCAACCCCCCCTCTCCAACCCCACATTCCCAGGGCCAGAGGGGTCCTGAAACCCCACGTGCTGGGGTAGAACAGGGGGTCCCCCATCACCTCTCACCCCCTGGTGCTTCCAGGGGGTGTCAGAGCACTGTGACCCCCCCTGCCCCATACCTGATGTCGGGGCTGTACAGTGCCAACCTGAGCAGGTACAGCACGGCGCTGCCCAGCCCCACGCTGATGAAGCCAATGAGGGGAACGAGCTGCAGGGAGAGGGAGAGAGATGAAAAATACCCCCAATAAAATGAATATTTATCAGGGCGGCTGGAGAGTGAAAGGGAGAGCTGACAACGCCGGGAGATTTACAGGGGAAATATGGCAGAGCAATCCTGTAGCGGGGCTGCAGTACACAGTGTAGCTGTCAGCTTGAGTGACTGAATTAAAAGAGGGAGAGAAAAATCGGCTCATGGTGGAGAGGAATTGGGCTCGGAATGAGAAATCACTTCCTTCCCTCCTGCACTGCATCCAATCCTGCGCTGCATCCATTTCTGCACCGCATCCCCTCCTGCACCACGTCCTGCCCTGCGTCCCTTCCTGCACTGCATCCCGTGCTGCACTGTTCTGCCTTGCACTGCTCTCCCGCACCACATCCCCTCCTGCACTGCTTCCCCACCACCACCACGTCCCCTCCTGCACCCCTCCCTTCCTTCATTGCATCCTCTCCTGCACCACATCCACTCATGCACCACGTCCCTGCACCGTGTTCTGCCATGCACCACACTCCCTCCAGCACTGCTCCCCTCTATGCTGCATCCCTGCCCTGCACTGCGTCCCCTCCACCAGATCCCCTCCTGAACTGCATCCCATCCTGCACCATGTCCCACCCGTACCCTCCTGCCATGCACTGCATCTCCTGCATTGCATCCATTCCTGCCCCACGCCCCCTCCATCCCTGCACATCCTTCTGCCCTCCCACCTTCCCCCACCAGCTGCTGGATGCTTCCAGCTGCCTGCAGCTCCGGACAACAACACGGGGGGAGGCACTCAGTGCCCTCCCCCTCCCTGCCCCCCCCCCCCCCCCAACGCCACCACATCCTCGTGGCACCGATCCGAGAGCACACAAAGCCCTCATCGCTCCATCACGCAGAGCGGAGCTCGGGCTGCCCACCACCTCCCCTCCTCGTGCTGCCGTTCCGCGCTGCCCGGGGGGACGCGGCCTCAATCGCGGTGGATCCGCAGCGCTGCTGACCTCCCCCGAATCGCGGTGCAGCCGGAGTAATGAGGCTCTGTCAGTGCTCACCCCTGGGACGCCAGCCGCGGCCGTTTGCTCTCCGTGCCCATTAAACGGCACCGCTTTTCTTTGCCCACACCTGAGCACGGCTGTGGACCAGCAGCATCACTTGGCCACACGTTTCCTGCTGCCCTCCTGCCTCAGTTTCCCACTTGTGCGAGGACGGATGGCTGGAACCGTCTCCTGTCTGCTCCTTTACCACACTCTGCTATGTGGCTGTGGTCCCCGTCCCCCCCCGCTCACCCTCCACCCCATCGTGCTGCACCCCCACCCCATTTGACCCCCATGGCAGCAGCTTTGGAGCTTGGAGCCATCAGCAGCTGTTGTCTGTGCCTCCGTGTGCCCATCATCACCATCTGCTGCTGACACCTTCTGCCTAATTAACGCCTGGGAAGAACTAAGGGGCCAACCCCCCCCTCCCCAAATAAATAAGACATTGTGAGTGATGACCGTAGGCTTACAGCCCCACAGAACTGTTCAGGAGGGCTCAATCTGAGCCCCAATGGTGAGACTGCAGTGCACTCCCACCCCACAACCATCACTGGGATCCCCACAGTGCTCTGCTGCTGCACCCATTGCAAACGAGCGCAGGTGAATCTGAGCAGTCTCTGCCAACGGGCAGCTGCTGCAGGACTGAGGCGCTCCCAATGCAGTGCAATGTGCCTGCAGTGCCACGCTGCTCTCCGTGCCCCTCCGCGCAACCCCTGCAGCTGTTGGTGGCTACTTCAGGGCTTCCAGCACCGGCAGTGGGACCGTTAGTTCCCCTCCATAGGGACATTGAGGTGTGAGCAGTTCCACGTCCCGCTGTGCGGCTCCACATCACCCTATAGCGCGGTGCCCCCGCCCCATCGCAGTGCCCGTCATCTTTTCCAGCCTGGCAACGCCGCTCCTCGCACCGCTGCCAAATGCCGACGTGACTCAGAGCCACACTCAGCCGGAGCCCTGTGCACGTCCCCAGTCCTGGGGGGGGGGGTTGGGGGCTGGGACCCCCCCCCATAGGGCTCCTGGAATGGAGGGGCCTCGCTCAGCTGGGGGGTTTTTGGGGGGATCTGGTGGGCTGTGGCTTTGTGTGCAAATGCTCTGCTTGTGTTGGTGGGGATGGGGGTGGATCAGAGGTGGGGGTGCTGCCCCAAACCTGGGCTGTGGGGTCGGATAGGGCTCCGATTAAATTCCTCTTCATGTCCCTTCCAGAGGGGTCTCCAAATCAGGGGGATGTGAGGGTGGATGTGAGCAGCCGCAAGCACACAGAGCACAACCCAGTGCCACGCTGCAGCCCTGAGGTGTCAGATGGAGGGTATGGGGTCAGTTGGGAGACATGAGGTCAGTAAGAGCCTGCAGCACCCCAATAGGGTCAAACGTGGGGTGCAGGGTGGGTCAGGAGGGCTGTGCTGCACCCCAAAGGGGTCAGATGTGGGGCACAGAGTGGGTTAGGAGTATCCTGCAACACCACAGTGGGGTCAGATGTGGGTATGAGGTGGGTTAGGACTGTGCTGCACCCCAATAGGGTCAGATGTGGGTATGAGGTCAGGTAGACACTGCAGCACCCCAGTATGGTTGGATATAGGGTATGGGGTGGGGCAGGAGGACCCTGCTGAACCCAATGGGGTCAGATGTGGGGTGCCAGGTGGGTCAGATGTTGAGTAGTGGGGTGGATCAGGAGGTCCATGCTGCATCCTTGGGGGGTCAGATGTGGGGCGCAGGGTGGGATGGGACCTCCAGCACGTGGGGGATGCTGAGAGCTGGGGGGGGGTTGAGGGCAGGGAACAGCCCTGGGGGGGGCACAGAGAGGGATATGTGGGGATGGGGAAGGCAGCAGGGGTGGAGAAGGAGTTGGGGAGGAGGAAGTGGGAGCAGATCCAGGGAGGGGAGAAACCCCCTGGGATGGGGGGGGAGTCCCGGGGTGTAGGGAGTCCGGAGGGTGGGGGGGGGGGGTCTCACTCACGCCTGGGTGCCTCTTGACGTGCCGGGAGAACATCGCTCCGAGCAGAGCGCCCTTCATGGCCGAGCCGGAGGAGCTGCGGGTGGGGAACGGAGCTGCGGGGACGGGACGGACGGGGCGGGACGGAACGGACGAAGAACCCACGGGGCACGGCCTTCACACGGCTCCCCCCCCCAGCCACCCTCCCCCGCATCCTCTTCCCCTCCTCTCTCCCCTCCCCGTGCCTCATTTTCCCCTTTCGAACGGCACCGACCCCACCTGAACCTGAACTCGACACAGCGCTGCCGGGCGATGGATGAGCGCTGCGATTTGTTCCGACGACTCCCCCCCATCACCCCCACCCCCAGGTTGATGATAAATGACACAATGCCCAATTTACATTTTTTAGCCATGCAAATCTCCCAGGCACCAACAGATGCTGCTGTGCATTTGGGAACGGTGCTGCAGATCCATCGGAGCTCCATAAAGGACCAAGGCCCCTCCGCCTTGCTTTGCTCCCCATCCCCTCAGGGCCCCCCCAGCTCCACATTGCCCCTCACCATCTCCTCATTGGCCCCCTCCCCCATGTTGCTCCCCCCTTATTTCTTCTATCCTCTCAGATCCTCCCCAGCTCCACACTGCCCCTATCCCCCCTCATTGCCTCCCTTCACCCCCCCAACCTCTCATTGCCCGCCTCCCCACATTGCCCCCACATCCCCCCTAATTGCCCCCCCTCAATTACTCCCCACCCTTCACCGAGTGCTGCATCCTGAACCTGGTGCTCCCCGTGCACATTCAGATGTTTGCACACATGCACCCTTCCTGCACGTGTGTGCAAATGCACACACATGCAAGTCTGCAAACGCACTCGTGTGTGTGTGAGCTTATGTCTATGCATGTGCGCAAATGCATTTCATGCGTGAGTGCACCTGTGGAAATGCACATGCACACACGTTTGCATGCATGCACGTGTGCAAATGCATGCACATGCATGGCAAGTGCATCCACATTCAGGTGCAGAAGATAAATGGATATTTGGAGGGGGGGGGGGGAAGTTGCAGCCCTGCTGAATCACCGCAGTGTTTTACAGCCGCTCTGCAAATATTATTCACTGTGACAGAGGATCAGCCGCAGGGGGGGAATCTATCAACCCCCCCAACCCCCCCCAGTCCCTCCTGATGGAGTGCTGCGTTAATGGGAAATGCGGTGCTGCACCTGAGCACAAAGCTCCACAAACCCTCCCCCCCCCCCCCCCCACACACACACACAGATTTGTGCTTGCCAGAATGGGGCCCCCTGGAAGGACCCTCACCTGAAACCCATCCCATAGCAGGGATATGAGGTCGTGCGCCATGGAAATGGGGGTTGCAGCCCCCAGAAACGGGGATTCCACCTCTCAGAAAATGGGGTCACATCCCCCAGAAATAGGAATTACAGTCCCAGAAATGAAGGTCATACCCCTATAGAAATAGGGGACACAGTCGCCCAGAAATAAGGGCCACAACCCCTGGAAATGGGGGTCACAGAAAAAGGGATTCCACCCTCCCAAAATGTGGGCACACTCCCATAAATGTGGGTTGCAGCCCCAGAGATTGGGGTCACATACACCCAATAATGTGTGGCATAACCCCCAGAGATGGAGTTCACAGCCTCCCTGAAATGGGCGGAGGGGGGGAACAACCCTACCCTCAGAAATGGGGAATCACATCCCCATAGAAATGTGGGTCACACTCTCCTAGAAGTGGGAAACAACCCCCCAAAAACGGGGATCACACCTCCCCATAATGTGGGTCAAACACCCCAGAGCTAGGGGTCAACCCCCTCCCCAGAAGTAGGGATTCCACCCCCCAGAAAATGGGGGTCACAGCCCCCAGAAATATGGGTCAAGCTCCCACCCAGAAATGAGAGTCACATCTCTATAGAAATGGGGTCCTCCTCCAGAGATGGGGGTCACATCCCCCAAAAACAGGAATCAGCCCCCAGAAATAGGGGCTACAGCCCCATACAAATGGGGCCCCTCCCCCCAGAGATGTGGGTCACGCCCCACGGATGTCCCCCTCCTTCCCCCATTTGGGTGTTGCTGTGCACAGCAGGGCTGTAAATCTCAGCTTTGGGCCACACGATAGAAATGGTCATAAAAAATTCATGGCAGGGAAAGCAAACAAACAATAAACAAACAGGAGGTAATTAAATGGTAAATTAATGAATGCAGAGCATCGCTCTGTGGAGGTGTGCTGGGACGGAGGGTGGGGAGATGGGGGAGGCAGAGAGCAGTGGGGATGGGACAACGACGGGTCAGGGAAGGGACAGAGAATGGAACGGGACAGGGATAGGAATGGGGATGGACAAGGACAGGGATGGGAATAGAAATAGGACAGGGAAGGGACAGGGATGTGTTATGGAGGGGAAAAGAATGGGATGGGGACAGGGAGAGAGACAGGGATGGACTGGGACAGGGATGGGGATAGAGAAAGGGATAGGAATAGGACAACAGTGGGATGGACAGGGATGGGGATGGACAAGGACAGGGATGGGACAAGGAAAGGGACAAAGACAGGGATGGGATAGGGAGAAAGAGATGGGAATGGAATTGGGATGGGGACAGGGAAGGGACAGGGCAGGGACAGGGCATCCCCACAGCACAGCTGTGCCACGTGGCAGTGATTTGCACATCCCAGCCAGAGCTCCTCCGGGTGCTTCCCCATTTCCCCCCCCTTTCCCCCCTCTCCCCCCCCCCCCCCAAATGCTGGGGGCACAGAGCCTTGGGGGGAGGGAGTGGGCAGAGCCGCTGTCACGCGGTGGCTGCAGCTGCAGACAGACCAGGCAGGGTGAGCCGCCCCAATTAATGCTAATTGCACTCCCTCAATGTCTGGCACCACTGAACCCACATAGGTACCATAACTCGGGGGGGCAGGGTGGAACTCAATGTTTGTCCGGGGGGGGGGGGGGGGGGGAAGGGACACAACACCCAGATCCAGATCCATAGCATCGCCCCCCATATCTATGGGTTCCCCGGCAGGGGGCGGGCAGCAACAGGGTCACAACGCGGTGCCCTCTGTCCATTGCACACACACAGTCATTGACCCCATGTTTTGGGGGTACCCGAGGGGGGGCACACCCCCCATTCTGCACCTGACCACAATTGCTCATTCTGAAAAGCCAGCCTAGATTAATTTTAATTTCTCCATGCAAATCAGTGCTAATTAGGATGGATTTAGTTCACAGTGCTGGGGCTGTGGGGATGGAGCAACGCAGCCCTCACTTCCCAGAAGGGTTTTTTTTTTGGGGGGGGGGGAGGGAGAGGTGCTACAGGTCAGAGCTGGGGGCAGTGGGAACCCCCATGAGGAGCTCACAGTGCTCCCAATCAACATCTAGGGGGCACAGAGGTGCTGAGCAGTGTTGATGGATGGGGCATCCCCCTACAGAGCCCTGCAGCGCCCCAGAGAGATCCGAAGAGCCCTAGAGGGTCCCTTAATGCCCCACAGAACCCTACAGAGCCCCACTGAATCCACAGAGCTCTACATAGATTGACAGAGCCCTACAGAGGTCCCTCAAAGCCCCAGAGAGCCCCACAGAACCCTATGATGCCCTCAAAGTCCCACAGAGAACTACAGAGCCTCTCATAGCCCTACAGAGCTATATAGAGTCCTACAGAGCCCCTCAAATGCCCACAGATGCCTGCAAATCCCCATAGAGCCCTACAGATCCCCACAGAGCCCCTCAAAAAATATAAAGTATATATAATGGTATAGAGCCCCTCAAAGCCCCGCAGAGCCCCACAGAGCCCTGCCGGGCTCCATGGAGTCTCACAGAGTGCTATGAAGCCCTTCATATCGCTACAGAGCCTCACGGAGCCCCACAGAGCTCTCCAGAGCCCTACAGTGCCCTATCATTCCCTACCGTGCCTCACAGGGCACCTCAAAGCCCCACAGAGCCCTTCAGGAATTCTACGGAATTCCATGGAGCCTTGCAGATACTCTCAAAGCCTCACAGAGCCTTACAGAAATTCACAGGACCCCACGAAGCACCTCAAATCTCCACAGAGCCTTACAGAGCCCCACAGAACTCTCCAAAGCTCCATAGAGATTCTCAAAGCTCAACAGATCCCTACAGAACCCTACAAATCCCCACAGAACTCTAACAGAGCTTCGCAGAGCCCCACTGAGCCCAAAGTGACTCACAGCACCCTGCAGAGCCTTACAGAATCCTATGGAGCCCATCAGAGCCCCACAGAGCCCCTAAAGTGTGGTGGTATTTCATGGAGATAATGTCATACTTTTGGATAAAATTACATATTTTGGGATGGAAAATGGTATTTGAGGGTGAAAGTGTCATATTTTGGGATGGAAAGAGGTATTTCTGGGAGAAAATGTCATATTTTGGGGAGAAACATTTTTGGGAGAAAACGCCATTTTTCTGAGAGAGTTGGTATTTCTTGGAGAAGATGTCAAATTTGGGGGAGAAGAGTGGCATTCCTTGAAAAAAAAAAATCATATTTTGGGGGAGAAAAGTGGTAATTTTGGGATAATAAGAGAGACAGCGTCTGAAAACCAAAAGTCCTACTTTGAACTGGAGGACGTAGAGCTCTTCCTCTCTGATTGTGAAGCCTCCTGGGCTCTGCATTTCTTCTGCTGTCCTGAGAACCAGGAACATGGAAAGCTGTCAGTTTGTGGAACTGGATTATTAACTCTTTAATTACAGGACCTTATGGCACACCAACAACAAAACTACAAAGCCGCGACAGAGGGGCTGTGAGGGGCACTGGGAGACACTGAGAGGACCCGGGGATTTCTGAGGGGGCCCCCCCCCCCACCCCTCCCATCTCCTTTAAGCCACTCCGCTCCCTCTTTGTGGAGACTCGGGGCTCCCCTCCTCTCCTTCCCACTCTCCCATTGCTTTCCCTGCGCACTTTCCTGGCTGTGTTCTCTTATTCCCATCATTTCTTACCCTTCTTCAGGCGCTGCTTTCCATTCCAGGACCTCCAACCTTACAGAGGAAATGGGGTTCATCCCAGAAGGCAAAGAGCTTCTTTGGCTGAGAGCTTCTTATTTCAGTCAGGTGGGTCCCAAAGCAGAGCTGCTGATGGAAGTGTCAGGGAAGGAGATGGAAACAATGCACGTATCGTTAGGGAAGTGAATTAATTACATTGATTCTCAAGATGGTAACTTGAGCCAGGGAAGCAGCAATGGGCTTTAGTGGCCTTCATTGCCCCTACACAGAGACAGCCCTAGGAGGTTCTGATAGGGCAGGCGCACCTCGCTGTGACCAAACCCCAGTTGCAGGGTGTGCAATTAACAAATTAATAAATGCACAGTTTGCAGAGTGATGTGGTTAGAACAGCATTTCACAGGTTTTATAGTTAGGAAGATCACTGCAATAGTAATTGAAAATCAAAAGCAACAATCAGAAATAAATGAAATGCCCACCCATGTCCTCAGCTTGCTGTAGAAAGCTCCAAAGGGAGGAATCTCCAAAAAGAGATTGTCACAGAATTATCACCAGAGCAGAGTCTGTAACAGGGGCACAATCCCAGGAGACAAAAGAGAGAGGAAAAAAAACCACCCCACATGTTAACAGCACAGCCAGCCCTGGCCCTGCAGGTAATGAGACTATGTACGTGGCGCGCCATGCGCTCAGGGGGAAGGGAAGAAAATAGGCAATAGCACATGGGACTAATAAAAAAACACAAATAAAAAAAAAGCGATATTGAAAGTATAAAACCAGGGATTTCTAGGAAAATCAGCAATATTTTAGGGTTAAAAACAGGGATTTCTATGAAAATAAGCGATATTTAAGGTTAAAATCAGGGATTTCTATTAAAATAAGCGATATTTTAGGGTTAAAAACAGGGATTTCCATGAAAATAAGTGATATTTTAGGGTTAAAAACAGGGATTTCTATGAAATTCAGCGATATTTTAGGGGAAAAACAGGGATTTCTGTGAAAATAAGCGATATTTTAGGGGAAAAACAGGGATTTCTGTGAAAGTAAGAGATATTTCAGGGGAAAAACAGAGATTTCTATGAAAATAAGCGATATTTTAGGGGAAAAAGAGGGATTTCTTGGAAAATAAGCGATATTTTAGGGGAAAAACAGGGATTTCTATGAAAATAAGGGAAATTTAAGGATAAAAACAGGGATTTCCATGAAAATAAGCGATATTTAAGGAGAAAAACAGGGATTTCTACCGTGCATGCCTGGCGCATGAGCAGTAGGATGCCAGCATGGCGCATGCGCAGTAGGGTGCCAGCCAGGCGCATGCGCACAAGAGTGCAACACTGGCGCACGAGCAGTACAGCCACAGACCAGCGCGTGCGCAGTAGGGTGCCGGAGAAGCTCATACGTAGTAGGATGACAGACCAACGCATGCGCATTAGGGAGACAGTGCGGCGCATGCGCAATAGTGAATAAGCGCAGTGCATGCGCAGTAGAGTACCTGACCGGCCAATGCGCAGTAGGATGCCACACAAGCGCATGCGCACTAAAGTCTCTCAACTGCGCAAGCGCAGGAAAAATGGCAGCGCGGCGTAGGCGCAGTAAAATGCCGGAACAGCGCATGCGCAGGAGGACGCCAGTACGGCGCATGCGCAGCAGAGTGCAAAAAACCGGCACATGCGCTGTAGGTTCCCAGCCGAGCGCATGCGCAGTAGCGTCCAACACGGCGCATGCTAACTGCAGAACTACTGGGGAGCATGCGCACTAAATTGTAACTCAAACGCATTCGCAGTTGAATACTGGAACCGCGCATGCGTACTAGCGAGCCAAAAAGGGGGCATGCGCAGTAGAACGCCAGTAAAGCGCACGCGCAGAAAGTATGCGGACTGGCACATGCGCAATAGGGTCCTGACAAGCGCATGCGCCGTAGGTTGCAAGCGAGGCGCACGCGCAGTAGAAAGAGAGCCGTGCGCATGCGCAGTAGGGTGAAAAATACAGCGTATGCGCAATAGAGCGCCAAACCGGCGCATGGGCAGTAGGTAGTCAGACTGGCGCAAGCGCAGTATAATATATGACCCGTGCAAGCGCAGTACGATGCCACCTGGATGCATCCGCAGCAGGTGTGCAGTCTCGCGCATGCGCCGTAGGGTCTCTGACAACAGCATGCGCGGTAAGTTTACAGCGCGGCCCATACGCAGGAGAACGGAACGGCGGCGCATGCGTAGCAGGGTAGAAATGCGGCGCATGCGCAATAGAGAGCCAAACCGGCGCAGGCTCAATAGGTTGTCAGCCCAGTGCATGCACAACCGAGCCGGACGAACGCATGCGCAGTAGAGTGCCAAACCGGCGCATGCGCAGCAGCGTGCCTGACCTACGCATGCGTACTACGGAGCCAGCGCGTCGCAAGCGACGTAGGGTGCCAGGCTTGCGCCTGCGCAATAGAGTACCACACAGGTATATGCGCAGTAGAGAGCCGGATCTGCGCATGCCCAGAAGGGTTCCACCGCTGCGCATCTGCAATAGAGTGCCAGAACGGCGCAAGCGCAGTAGGTAGCCAAAGCGGCGCATGCGCACTAGAATGTCAGTGCAACACAAGCGCAGTAGGCTACTAGCTCAGCGCATGTGCAAAAGGTTGCCAGCGAGGCGCATGAGCACTAGAGTGGCTGCAGGGCTCCTGCGCACTAGGGTGCCAGCGATGCGCTTGTGCAATAGTCAGCCCGGCGCATACGCAGTAGACTGCAAGCCAGGCGCATGCGGAGTAGCCTGCCAGACGAGAGCATGAGCAGTAGTATACAAGACCAGCGCATGCGCAGTAGGTTTGCAGAATTGCGCATGCGCGGTCCGGTGCCAGCGCGGGGCAAGCGCTGTAGACTGCTATGCCGACGCATGCGCTGTAGGTTGCCAGCCCGACGCAAGCTCGGTAGTATGCCAGCCAGGCGCACACACAGTACGAACTGCTAGTGAAGGTTTAAAAACAGGGCGATAAAAACAGGCCGAAAACAGGCCGAATATAAGCGATATTGAAGGGGAAAAACAGAGATTTCTGAAATTGATATCTTAGGGGAAAAGCAGGGATTTCTATGAAAATAAGCAATATTTTAAAGTTAAAAACAGGGATTTCAGTGAAAATAAGTGATATTTTAGGGGAAAAACGGGCATTTCTATGAAAATAAGCGATATTTAAGGTTAAAAACAGGGATACCTAAGAAAATAAGCGATATTTTAGGGTTAAAAACAGGGATTTCTATGAAAAATAATTGATAATTTGGGGGAAAAGCAGGGATTTCTATGAAAAAAAGTGATATTTTAAAGTTAAAAACACGGATTTCCATGAAAATAAGTCATATTTAAGGTTAAAAATAGGGATTTCTATGAAAATAAGTGATATTTTAGGGGAAAAAAGAGGGATTTCTATGAAAATAATTGATATTTAAAGGTTAAAAACAGGAATTTCCATGAAAATAAGCGATATTTTAGGGTTAAAAACAGGGATTTCTGTGAAAATAAGCGATATTTTAGGGTTAAAAACAGGGATTTCCATGAAAATAAGCGATATCTTAGGGTTAAAAACAGGGATTTCTATGAAAATAAGCAATATTTTAGGGATAAGAACAGGGATTTCTATGAAAATAAACGATATTTTAGGGTTAAAAACAGGGATTTCTGTGAAATCAAGCGATATTTTAGGGGAAAAACAGGGATTTCTGTAAAAATAAGTGATATTTCAGGGGAAAAACAGGGATACCTAAGAAAATAAGCGATATTTTAGGGCTAAAAACAGGGATTTCTTTGAAAATATTTGATATTTCAGGGTTAAAAACAGGACCTTCCATGAAAATAATTGATATTTAAGGTTAAAAACACGGATTTCCATGAAAATAAGCGATATTTTAGGGGAAAAACAGGGATATCTGTGAAAATAAGCGATATTTTAGGGTTAAAAAGAGGGATTTCTATGAAAATAAGCGATATTTAAGGTTAAAGTCAGGGATTTCTATGAAAATAAGCGATATTTTAGGGAAAAACAGGGATTTCTATGAAATTCAGCGATATTTTAGGGTTAAAAACAGGGATTTCTATGAAAATAAGCAATATTTTAGGGTTAAAAACAGGGATTTCTATGAAAATAAGTGATATTTTAGGGTTAAAAACAGGGACTTCTATGAAAATAAGCTACGTTTTAGGGTTAAAAACAAGGATTTCCATGAAAATAAGTGATATTTAATGTTAAAAACAGGGATTACTGTGAAAATAAGCGATATTTAACGTTAAAAACATAGATTTCCAAGAAAATAAGTGATATTTTAGGGTTAAAAACAGGGATTTCTATGAAAATAAGCTACGTTTTCGGGTTAAAAACAAGGATTTCTAGGAAAATAAGTGATATTTTAGAGTTAAAAACAGGGATTGCTGTGAAAATAAGCGATATTTACGGTTAAAAACAGGGATTTCTATGAAATTCAGCGATATTTACGGTTAAAAACAGGGATACCTAAGAAAATAAGCGATAATTTAGGGTTAAAAACAGGGATTTCTATGAATATAAGCGATATTTCAGGGAAAAAACAGGGATTTCTATGAAAATAAGCGATATTTTAGGGGAAAAACAGGGATACCTAAGAAAATAAGCGATATTTTAGGGTTAAAAACAGGGATTTCTATGAAAATAACAGATATTTAAGGGGAAAAAAGAGGGATTTCTATGAAAATAAGCGATGTTTTAGGGTTAAAAACAGGGATTTCTATGAAAATAAGTGATATTTAAGGGGAAAAAAGAGGGATTTCTATGAAAATAAGCGATGTTTTAGGGTTAAAAACAGGGATTTCTATGAAAATAAGTGATATTTAAGGGGAAAAAAGAGGGATTTCTATGAAAATAAGCGATGTTCTGGGAGAAAAACAGGGATTTCTGTGAAAATAAGCGATATTTTAGGGGAAAAAACAGGGATTTCTGTGAAAATAAGCGATATTTTAGGGGAAAAAACAGGGATTTCTGTGAAAATATTTGATATTTCAGGGTTAAAAACAGGGCTTTCCATGAAAATAATTGATATTTAAGGTTAAAAACAGGCATTTCTAGGAAATAAGCGATATATATTAGGGTTAAAAAACAGGGATTTCCATGAAAATAAGTCATATTATAGGGGAAAAACAGGGATTTCTATGAAAATAAGCGATATTTTAGGGGAAA